GGATGGACTGATGGAGGGATGACTGATGGATGGATGGATGGACTGATGGAGGGATGGACGGATGGAGGGATGGACAAATAAAGTTTCAGCATCACAGACTCAAACAGCTGCTGCTGTCATCTTATTACACTTAAAGTTTACTTTGGAACCAGCCAATCAGAAACCACCATATGGTATCACATCTGTTCACTCATCAGCCCAGAGCTCCCAGTGCTGTGAGGGATGCTGGGTTGGTGTTTCACCCACTCACAGCGTGTTCTCGGAGTTTGGAGACGAGCTCAGCCTGAACTCTGCTGACCAATCAGCTCTGCTTCAGTCCTGCTCTTCATCCCCAGAGAGAGGAGGAGGAGGCGAGGAGGCTCGAAAGGAGGAAGCCGAGCAGAAAAGATGAGTGACAGGAAGAAGGAAGCTCGTCCCAGCGGAGATAAACAAAGCTAAAAATAAAACTGGAGACCGGAGAAGTCGGCTCCTCCGACTGCTGGACTCAAACACAGACACTGATCGCTGTCAGTCATGATCAGCTGATTTATTATCAGCTGTTTCTGGAAATACCCTGGGATTCCCCCCCACCTCCGCAAGGGTACCCTGACCTCCTCACTGTGGTTGTCTTGTTCCCAGTACAAACTGGGTGCAAACCACTCTTCCTGTAGTAGGAAGCATGATGTAGTATAGCAGTGGCAGTATTTACAGTACTGTGTGTACTGCAGTACCACTGGCTGCAGTAGTATTATTAATAGTAGTATCACTGATATTTGCAGTTTAATCTGCAGTTTTTGGATCTCTCACTTTTTTACTTTATGTTCACAGCGAGGATGCAGTTACCATAGCGACTGTGTGTGTGTGTGTGTGTCCTGCGCTCTGATTGGCTGGCAGGGTTGTGGGCGGTCAGGGCGAGCCTCTCACAACCTCCCTCTCTCTCTCGCAGCCTCAGATCGGCACAGACAGACGAGAGGTGCAGCTCTTCCTCACTGCTCTCTCCATCATCCCTCCATCTTCCTCCTCCTCTTCCTCCTCCTCTTCCTCCGTCCGCAGCCAAACTCTCTCTCTCTCTCTCTTTGCCACCTCTGCTTCTTCTTCTCTCTCTGCCTCCTCTTCTTCATCCCTCCGACACACTCAGACGGGTCTGACTCTTGGGCTTCATCACCTTCATCATCATCCTCGGAGGAAGACGACAGGGAGCTCCCTGACCCCTCGCCCCACAGGGTCACCATGGCAACGGTCATCTGCACTCGTTTTACTGAAGAGTATCAGCTGTATGAGGAGCTGGGCAAGTGAGTGTGGTCGTCTTCATCCCCACGTTATGGTTAAACAAAGAGTGCGAATCAGAAATGTTCAATAATCTGCTTTATATCAGGAATCAGAAGCCTTTAATCGTTTCATCGTTATTCCACCGTCCTCTCACAAGTTGTTTGATTTTTTTTAGCTCGTGTCAAATAAAACTTTATTTAAAATGTTTTAAATATTTGATTTTTTCTTTATATTTTCTGCAGGATTTTCTAAGAGATTCACATTTAATGAGACAAATCTCATTATTATCATTATTATTGTTATTATTATTATTAAATAAGTTTCCTTATAATCAAAGTTGTCTTAGTAATGATTATTCTGATGATGTCACACAGGTGGTGTACTGTGTTTATGTTTGGATATAATTGTAAACGGCAGTAACAGATGCAAAGATGCTGATAACGACTCGATCTGTCTGATGGTTTATTGATTATTGATCAAGCTGCTGATCAGTAAAGATGGCTGATGAAAGCAGAGAAAGATGGAGGGAGAAGTGTAACACCTTTCTGACCCCATCCCACTCACCGCCCACAC